TGATTGTTCATTAACTCATTAAGGATCATTGTTCATTAACTCCTTAAGGATCATTATTCATTAACTCATTAAGGATCATTATTCATTAACTCATTAAGGATCATTGTTCATTAGCTCATTAAGGACGAAGCGGACATATATATTACGTGTTACGACGTGGTGGGTTCAGGAGCTTGTCAATTTTTTGGCACTTGGGGTTATTGGTATCTTCTTAAAACTTGTTTATTTGTCTTGCTTTCGATGAAAAAAAATACCCATCTATCTCCAATAGACGTGGAGAATTTGTCCATTGAATGAAATGGGCGTTGCCTGGTTTCAGAGGTAAAATCAACTACAAAATGGAGGCCAAAGCTTGGTGATTTCCTAAACTTGAGAATCCTTGGAAACTGAAAATTTACATTTTTGTGCCTTTAATCAACGTTTTCAGTTTTAAAAAATCCATGCAGAAACATTTTTCAGGGACCTTAAAGGTGTTGAGTCAAAAAAAAAATTCTATAAAGATTGCCAAACTAACAGAAAAATCCCAGTTTCTTCGATTTCATCATTTTGACTAGCGCCTGATTTCACCACAATGCCTCACATATATATTGTCTTACGACGTCTGGTGGGACTCAGGAGCTCGTCAATTTTTGGGGTTATTGGTAGCATTATAATGCTTGTTCATTTGTCTTGCTTGTGATAGAAAAAATCACCCATCTATCTTGAATAGAAGTCGAGATGTTTGCAACTGAAGGAGGTGGGGGTCGCCCGATTTCAAAGATAAAATTAGCAGGAAAATGGCTGCCAATGTCTGGTGTCTTACATAGCTTGAAAGACGTTGGAAAAAAATAATTTACATTTTGTGTGCCTTTTATCGACTTATTTCTTTGAAATCTTCACAGAAACGTGTTTTTCAATAGATATAAATGGTGTTGAACTAAAAAAAAAAGGTGGTCCTTAACTTATGTTGCAAGTCTGAAAGTGCGGACGAATAGAGGAGCAACATACAAAGAAAAGATAGAGGAACGAAGTATAGCAAACCACACGAGAAAAGTCTAAGGACACACGTTTTGTTCAACACTATCGTCTGCCAGTAGCCTTTTGTTGAGAGCCGTGTACCAACGGTGGTCTAGTGGTTAGGCCGTTGGTCTCGTCATCGAAAGGTCACGGGGTTCGAACCCCGTTTGGGACCCGACTTTCTGTTCTTAGGAAAGGCACTTTGCTTGAATTTACCTCATTCCCCCCGCGAGGGAATGGAGGGTTTTGAACTGTCATTATTATCTGCAAGTTTTTCCTTAATGGTTTTTTTCTGGAGTGAATGGGTTACTACTCTCAGTAATCATGCCATCATGTCATCATGCCATCGATATAAAGCGCTCAGAGCTTTTACTTGTATGGGATAGAGCGAAAAATCAATGCAACCTGTTATTAGTAGCAGATCTAGTAACATTATTATTTTGTAAAATTATTATTATTATTAACATTATCATTTTTTTATTATTAGTATTATTATTATTATTATTATTATTATTATTATTATTATTATCATCATCATTATATAGTATTGTTTTATTATTATTGTTGCTGTTGTAATTACCTTATCAAGATTTGGAGTGGCAATCTGCGAGCCATGGTACCCGATGTCGTTGAAGCCGTAGTCGTCTCCAAACACAAAGACAATGTTTGGCTTCCTGATGTTGTTGCTGCCGTTGTTGTTGTTGTTGTTGTTGTTGTTGTTGTTGTTGTTGTTGTTGTTGTTGT